TCCTGAGCATATAGGCTTCTTTCAGCCCTGTTTTCAGAGAAATGTTACATGTGTTTTATTGTTTATTTCAGCTAATTTGACAAGGGTGAAGGTGGTTGATATGTCATCTCCTTACAGAAAGACTAGATTATCAAGAGAGCAATACGATTGATTACATTTTCAATAATTCCACGGGACTCCAGTCCAAAACTATGTTATTCTGTGGGGTTATAGGTAGAGGAAAGGATTTAATCTTTTAACCTCTCACAGTCAAACTAACAAAAGTTTGTAGAACAGCTGACATATTTTAAGTATGTTTAAAATGGTCGAGAATACAGTCTAGATTCAAGATTTTCTTTCTCCTGCTGCATAAAAACAAAAATGAATAAATATAAGCAATATCACACAGCTGTACTCCAGTGCAGATCTTCTGGGGAACTCATTATGAAGAGACAATAGCAAGGATGTCCTTATAGAAGGTTGCTTGCTCGATTGACTTTGGGTAAACACTATGGTGAAATATCCAGCCAAGACAATCTAACGTGTTGGATATCCCTGTTTAAAGATGGGAGAGACTGATCTGATCAGTCATAACGCACCATATAAGGTAAGATTACCTCCCCAATCATAAGATCGGGATATAAATCTGCACTATTATCTTGCCATGTGACTCCTCCTTAGGCACTTAGGAATTTAGGCCCTTAGGAAAGGAAACCTTTTCTTTTTGAGTTGTTTTCTGCAGGTCTTTGACCGGCATACAATCGTTGATGTGTTTATTCTAATTCCAATTGGTTGTTGGCCTGGTTTTATTTAGTTTTAATCACTTTGTTTCTGTTTTAAGTTGCCTTGTTATGGCATCTCTAGCATAACGTGAGGCCCCGTGGTGGAGCCAGACGGTTAGTTGGGAAGAAATCCTTGCCACCACTGTTGCCATCATGCTGAAAACATTATACTGTTAGAATTTTACGAACATTTGCGAAAAAAAACTGAAATAATTTCCCAGCAGACTTGAATGCATCCTAATGAAGCACGCTTCTCCTAAACTTTTCCTTGGTTAAGCTGACATGCAGCGTCTCCCTAACAGAACAGTGACGCACAGGATCAATGAAACACATTTCCTTTGCTGTTGTGTACATTTATTGGTACTAAATTAAACAAAGTGCTGTTTTAATTGGAAGTAAGGGAGATGTTGCACCACAGTGCTTGTGCTTAGTATTACCTATGAGTATTACTACTTCAATTACTAGTCTGATGCCTGGCTCTGCAGTCAAATTAAGTGGGTTGATGCTCAAAAGGAAATGAACCCACATGAAAAGCCTAGGGCACTTCAGCAACTTTCAGATGTTACTGTAGGTAGGCTTGCAGGTACATGGCGTTTAGAACTATGGGAGACAGGCTTCCAGCAATTTCTAGGATCTGGCAAGACATTTCACAAGAGAAGAATAGTGGAGCCAGGAAAATAATAGAAAAATTGTCTTTTCACCCAAACTGACCTACAGTTTATAGGATTTTTCTTTACTTTCAGTAAAGTGTTTGGGGATGTGAAAATCCTGTCTGACATGCTCCGATCCAGAAGTTTTGAGCTGGTTAGAGCAATAGATCTGGTTGGTTCCCTTACAGACATGTTAAAAAGCTACAGAAGTGATAGTAAATTTGGTGAATTATGACGGAGACTGAAGTACTTGTGCACCACTGCAACATTGTCACTGAAGCACAAAACAAAAGACGACCAAAGACCAATTCCAAATTTCTGGACTTACTTGTTATGAGCACTGTTAGTTTGAAAATAGTTAAGAGTTCAATAGAAGTATTTTCTATCAGGTACTTGACTGTTTTGAAGCAGAAATAGATTTTCCAAAAAGAACTGAGATAATTGAAGGAGTGCAGTCTCTTGACCCCAAAAGCCCATTATTCCTAAAAGAGCAGCGTCTGTTTGACACATTTGAGTCAGACTTAGAAGACCTTAAGCATGAGCTTCATCAAATGAGAGGGCTTCTTTTAAGAAGGGAGACAAGTGGAGGGAAGCCAGCTTTTCTACTTGAGTTTTTGTGTTTTTGGAACCTTACAAAGAGTTTTCCATTAACTTTTTAGGCTGAGTAAAATTTGGCTTTTGATTCCAGTTAGCACTTCATCCCGCTAAAGAAGTTTCTCTGCACTTAAATTAATAATAAAAAAAAAACCTTAGGACAACAATGGCAGATGATAGATTAAGTCATCTGGGCATGCTCAGTGTTGAGTGAAGGAGGGCATAGTCCCTAAATATGGAAGACTTTGTAAAACATCTCACCAGACCCGCAGAATTTTGCTGTTCTTATTGTTTTTGTGAACTTGGTGTTGTCATTATCACTGGGCAGTGGTCAACTATAGTCAGTTTCAAAGGGCTGTATGTTGTTTTTTTTTTTTTTTGCTTTTTTGTTCTATTACTCTTCCTGTGGTATAAATTTAAATGTGCACCGCTGCTTGTCCTGCCTGTTTTGACAGGTCCAAATTTACCTCAAGTTTTTGTTTACTATTGGATTTGATTAGTCCAAGGAGCACATTTAGTAGGCTACTTGTTTATTTCTATTTTTGCTGTGTACTTAATTTATAAAACATTTAACAGTACATAATTGTATACATTTTGGAAAATAAACATCTTTCATTTAATCAATATACATTTTTCCGAAAATAATTCTTGTTTTTAGTGTAATTACAAACCCTTTATATATTGAGCCGCCAAATAATTCCTTCCCATCCCTGTTTTAAAAGTATAGCGCTGCCACTGATGAGGCTAGTTGCCAACATTTACATTTGCCAACAGAGCATTCCTAAATAAAAAGGATATCTGGAGATGGTAGAATTGCTTGAATAATAGCCACCATCAGATAACCCATGATAACAATTCCAGGAGTAATGTAGATAAGAAACTACAGTATAAACTTTAAGAAAATCAGTTGAAGTTTTCCCTTACAAACTTTTTAAAATATTCTCATAAAACTTTTTTTTTTAGAACTAAACAAATGCAGGTTTGAACGGTGAGTGTGTTAGGGTGCATAAGTAAATGTTAAGTTTGTTGTGTCCTAAAAAAGTAAATTCTATAAAAAAGAAAGATGACGAAGTCAGCAGAATCTACATACAAATGCCACACGTGACATGAACACTCAGAGGCAAAGCCAGAACATTTTTATAAGGGTGGCCAGGCAATAATCAATGTACACTAAGGGGTGGCTGTAAGCAGATAGGCACCACCTCTCGGTAATTCTGCAATGTTCCAACAGTAAAAATAATTAGCAAAACATCCATATTTTCTAAATAAAGATAAACTATATTTTCCCACAGTCTTTGTTAATAATAGACGGATATATTTATAAATCTGTGCTTTCTAGATAAAAGGTATAGTGGATAAAATTCCTCCAGGTTTGAGCTTTTGTTCGAACATCCTTTCCATTGTCATTACTTGACTACTTTTATCAGTAATCATTCTGCATAAAATGGATATTTATGAGTACTAATATCTACATAAATTGATTATTTAACAAGTTTTTATTAAAATAGTTATTTATACATGATTTCACTGAAGACTCCTAGATGCATTGCAGAGACATAATTTTCTCTTTACCCCATGAAACACAAAATCAATTTCTGCTTGAATTCTGTACTTATTATCTTTAAAGTTAGTATATTGATGTGCATACCGTAAAAATTCAAAAAATATCCACTGGACTTGCAGTGGATATTTTTTGAATTTTTACGGAATTACTATGACCTGGATGACTGAGAACCTGCATCAGCATTGATATGCATAATTAACCACAGTGTTTTCGTTCTCAAGTAATTGTTAATATTAATATTAATTGTAAATATATAATTTTGAATATTCCACTTAAGAGTATTAGAGCCCCTGGGTGTCAGGGTAAAAAAAAAAAAAGCTGGTGGAAATCCATGTGCATGGATTGATAAACTGAGCGCACGATTTTCCAATCCGTGCTCGCAGATTAAGAAACTGTGCTCTCGGTATATTAATCCCTGCCCGCGGATTGAGAAACTGTGCTTGCGGTTTATTAATCCGTGCCCACGGATTTCCACCTGCTTTTTTTTTTTTTTACCCTGACACTCAGGGGGCTCTGCACTGTTGCCACCATCTGTATTAGAGGGAAATAAATCAACATATTCTCATTATCAGTTCATATGAAATCGTACGAAAAGTTATGCACAGTATTTCGTACGTTTTTGACGTTTTTCCTCGAAAAAACAGATCAGTGTGCATGCACAACCAGACAGACGAAAAAAGCAGATCCACGGAAGGACGTAAAACTGGGAAAAACAGTGCAAAAATTACTTCTTCATGTCTCTAACTACATTGCTTGCTGTTTTGTATCTTAAGGTTAGGGTCAGGGTTAGGGTTAATTGTATGTTAAATTCTATGTTATTAAATGGTGCGTAAGATGCGCATGCATATCTTGTCTCGAGGCAAGACGTAAAAATACGACGAAATACCACCAAAAAACGTCTAAAACGTACGAAATTACGGTGCATAACTTTTCGTACTATTTCATACGAACTGATAATGAGAATACACTGAATAAATGGTAGGGGTGGCCACAGCGGTGGCCTATGATTGACTAGGGGTGGCCATGCCCCCCCCCCCCATCTAGCTCCGCCCCTGTGAACACTGCAAAAACGATCCAGAAAAAAGTACAAAACATCTTAGATTGAGTGTATTTACCCTTAAAATCTATGATTTGCAAAAGGAATTAGTATTTTTACTTAATTAGATAACATCAATTTGAAATAAGACAATGCAATAGTATATTGTATATTTCCATTGGCAAAGTCTCTCACTTACCTCCTTATTTCAAGACAAAATTTTAAGTAAAATTACTTATTTAGATTTAAAAAAAATTGCAGTGAAAGGCTGATTGGATCCGTGATTTGGGTTTGCTTTTTGTTTCAGCAGAAAGCAAGGAATCAACAGAGCGACATAATTCTTGGAGCATAGATCCAGAGACCAACACAGCTGAGAAGAGGAGTAAACAACTTACGTAGTGTTTGGAGGGATTCCTTCTTTTCTGCACGTCCACAACGTTAACGTCAAGGACAGTGCGAAACTGCATCTTTTTTTTTTTTCTGCACACCGATCTGGCCTTTAATAAGAGAAACACAAAATGTAAGAGCCCAGATGTTCGCCCATGAAAATCTGAAGAGATCCTTTGAGATGCGAAGTTCTGCAGATGTCAGAAGAAAGTTCAGAGAAAGGAAGCAGCGCGATCCGCCGTCAAGGTCTGGGGGCCCCCAGAAACGGACGGTGTCAGGCGGACTTTGTGAAAGAAAAGTAGTGATCAGAGATCTCCACCCTGAAGAGGGGCTGCACCACTGCTGCCCGGAGCCAAAGGGGGGAGGGCCCAGTTCAGCTGACTGGACACACTTCACAGGACTCCTCAGGAAGGACTGAGGTCACCCTCCTTTGTTCTGAGGAGCAGCCAGCTTTTAGGAAATAGAGTCAACAAACATTAACGATTCAATCCCCTCTGTCTCTTATCCTCAAACAAACCAATCACATTTGGTTTAGCATTATTATTACCATGGTGCAAACACTAGATTTTTTAATGTTTGCTCAGTTTTGATTTCCTTTATTTTTCTCCCTTCATTGAATTTACTAAATCTAGATTTTTTTTTCTAAAACATCTAAAGTTTACATAAATATATTGGTAGAAATGTTTAGACTTGTTGACTTTGGCTAAACGTGTTGATATTTTTCTCCAAGCTTAACCAATTAGGCCCCAAACCAAATTAATGGAATTGAGATCAGAGCTTTATTCACATATTTCTTTTAAAAATAGGACAACATGTTTTGGTTTTTGGGAAGACCCAGGCTTTAACTCACTGGCCAGTATCTTAATATGTTGCTTCAATATTTCCATATATTTTGTCTTCATAACCCCACATTGCAAAAACGTTCTGAAAATGAGCAAAAAAAAAAAATCTTAAAATAAGTGTTTTAAACCTTAATTTGAGTAGGAAAATATGATGATCTCCCAATGGAATCAGCTGTTTTACTCTTAAAAAATAAAAACATTAGATAATATGCACTTGAAAAAAGAGACTGCAGTTGTTGTTTTTTTTCTTTTTTTAAATGTAAATTGTCTTATTCAATTTGCAAAGTGTTTCACTTACCTCAATTCAACTAAAACTGCACTTAATTTAAGAATAAATTTCTTACTTAGATCTACATTTGTTGCAGTGCATTTTATTGCAGCAGCAAAACATGATACTGTCACTCCCATACCTCACAGAAGGGATTTCTTTTTCTTTTTTTCCTGGCTTTCCAGATTTTAAATGTAAAAATTATTTTCATCACAATGTATAAGTTGTCATTATGGCTAAAACTTTCAACTTTAGTTTCCTTAGAACATTGGACATGTCTCCAAAAAATTAAAGTCTCTGTCCCTGTCCACGCCTCCAAACTATAATTCGGCACATTTATCTTATGTTGCTTTTTGAGTAAAGGTTTCTCCCACACCAGCTGGCCTTTCAGGACACCAATGACTGTAGATAATGTTACGTCTTACAATAAACTATGTTTTTTATGTTTTATAAAATAGACCATTATAGCTTCAAAAACATGTCTTTAGACTGAGCACAGTGCATCTCTTAAAATAATGCCTTTATTTTAGATTTACATAAATATAAGGTTTTGGTTAATGAGACAGCAGTATGCCCTAGACTGATTGTGAGTTGTGTAAAGGTGTAAAGTAATGTGGCTCATTTTATCAGCACATTTCTGTGTAATAAGGAACCTTTTTTCAATTGGAGCATACAACTGGTAATTCAAGTATAACTGTCAAAGAAGCACTTTTTCCACTGACAGGCAAACAAGGATGTAGATCTCTGTGATTTCCTGGACAAACATCAAATTTTCTGCTCTACCTGTTCTACCTCTATTCTCACTCTCATGAGGTACATAGAGACTGTCTTACTTGGTGAACTTGTTATCCTCCACCGACCACAGATCTCATAACAGAGAAGGACATTTTACCAGATGTGCATCAGTCTGTGAAAATGAAAATGTTAAATTAGTCTGCAAGTTCTTTTGTTCACAATATGTGCATGTATTTTAACTGCATCTTCAAACTGAGCTGTGTCCTTTTAATTAACCATATTCACATCCACCTATCCACCTTTACATCTGTCTGTGCCTGTCTCCAGCAGCCTTTGGCACGGTATATATAATAGGAGCCTTTAATATGTTTTATTCAATGTTTTGGGGCTAAAAAGAAGACAGAATTGTCAGAGAGAGCCTACATACACGAGGAGAACATGCAACCTTCATTCACAAAGACCGGCTAGAATTCTAACCTTGGATCTTATTGCAGCAAGGCAGCAGAGCCTCAAACAAAACTAAAATAGTAAGTTATTTTAGGATTATTCCATATATTTGCAGCCAAAATGGATTTTTATTTATCTATTTGGGGTTATTATTATGTCTTATTATTGTTATACCATTTTTTCTTTCATTTTCAAATGAAATGTACAAACTATAACCCTAACAAAGAATACATTCCAAACATTAATCAAGCATAGCATGAATTAAGCAGTATTGTTCATGTGCTAAAGCTACTACTCCTACACTGCAAAATGAGTAAACATTTCTGGACAAAAAAAACTTTTATTTAATCATAACTTCAGTAGGTAAAAAGGATGATCAGCCAAAAGAAGATAATTCAATATTATATAATCAGAGATCGCAATTGTTTTGTCTTATTTAAACTGTAAATGGTCCTATTCCATTTGTAAAGTGTCTCACTTACCTGCTCAATTCAAGAAAATTTATTTAAACAGAAATTGACTTACTTAGACCAATTTATCTGTAATGTAAATATATTACAAATATATAAATGCAAATATATTTACTCTGACCTGACATTAAGAATATCAAACATGTAATTTATGCTATATTGCATTTATGTTTAATGAGCTATAATCATCCAGAGTGTTTAAATATTTCTCTCGCTATAGAAATGCAGCCAGCAGTGACGTTCAGTCAGAACATTCCTTACTGCAATGAAGTGCTTGGGTTGGTTTGGAAACAATGTTTGCCTTCTGTGTTGATTGAAGATACTGAGATAAAAACCACACATAAAGCTGTCAGTTACACATGAGCCAATAAAATGGAATCTGCTTCCTTTTTACCGACATCAACCTTTCATAACATTCATGTTATTTTATCTACTTCTCTACAAGTAAGGAATGATTTAAACCATTTGAGAAGGTTTAGAAAATGTTGAGTTTGTCCTCTTCAAAATTTGTGGTTTGGCATTTTTTGAAGCAGACATCACGGGCCTTCTTTTCCAATTACCTGTCTAAATGTTTGACTTGATTTGGTCTCATTTTGTTTCTGCTCAAGACAAAAATGCCGTCATGTGAAAAGAACAAGAAGCAATAAAGAAGGCAATAAATGACAAAAACTTTTATTTCTTTTGCTAAATACATTCAAATTATCGTACATTGTATTTGTTTTTGAAAGAAATGGATAATTTCATGCAATTTAAAGTACAGTAGTATGCAATTCCAAAACACAGAATTTATCAGGTAACTTTGTACGAAAGGACAAATGCTTTCCACTGAGACATATAAGCTGACTCCTCTGCAGCTCTGGTGTTGTATAACTGCTCATTGATCATTATTACTATTTGATTGTAAAACAATTATGAAACAAAGAGGTTAAACAACTTACTAAATGATAATAGATACAGGCATTTTTCAGGTTGCCATTCTATATTAGATTAGTTAACAGGTTATTCAAAGACCCATCAACCTATTTTCATAATCAGTAATACAAAAATGCATAATTTTGAGACCACTCTGTTAAAATTATTGTCCTCAGAAAGCAGTACAACCTGGCTGTGAAAAAGTAAAAAAAAAAAAAAGCAGTTTGAGGCTATGATGCGCATCTCAAAAACAAATGGGACGTATCAGGTATTAGACTGATAAGAACAGATACTACACTTGATCTGGATGGAAGAAAATAACTCATACAGTGTAATATATCATTTTCAAAGATTGTAATCATACCTCTTTTTGCAAATGTAAAGCTTTATCTCAGCAAGGGACTTTTGGTGGTTAGTTGTTCTGCCGGAGTGCCTGGCATTCCATTAAGTTCTGTTAAAAAAAAAAAAAAAGCTTAAAGCGCATGGGCCACAAACTTTTTTCATGTATTGATGAGTCATAAAGGATGAATGACAGAAAAACCACAGAGAAACCTGTCTTTCACAAAATAAACAAGCACCAGACCTCATCTACCTCGCAAAACTTGTTACATTAATTACATTGCTACTGTTTGAGCTGCAATAAAGATCTCATTAACAAATATTTGTTATGGAAAAAGAGGTGAAGCATACAGTATACCTGAACTATGCTTTTAGAGTCATTGCTTGCAATGTTTTACAGTTGAGAACAAATGGCATGAAATGTGAAAATTCAATGTCAATAAAAACTGAAATAATTCAATTCTATTCAATTTAATTCAGTTCTATTTATATAGCGCCAATTCACAACACATGTCATCTCAAGGCGCTTTACAGTTCACCAGATCATACAGTCAAATTGATTCAAAGTTTTCTATAAAAGGAAAACCAGTTGATTGCATTGACTCATTGACTCGAATGCAATCCCTCACACTACGCATTTTTGTAGCGACAGTAGGGAGTTATATCTCTCTGGCCCCGTCCACACGAAGACGAACCCTGGCCTAAACGCACAAATT